GAATCTAATGCAGATAAACTGGTTCATAAAGTGACGGGGTAAATCGCTCTCTCAGCTGACGATGTTAGCTTGCTAGTTACGCTAGCTAACCTAACGTTAGGCAGGATTCGCGGATTAAAACACATTTGCATTTAACCAATCTAAATCATCAAAATTTAGTTTACTGTACTATAAATGACAGCATGCAAATTAATCGATTGTGATGGTGCCAATTATTCAACGATTATTATTTATCAGATGTAAACATCCCGATAAGCAAACAGTAAGAAACGGTAACGTTACGTAAACCACCTTACCACATATCAAATGTCATTTTAAAAGATCAATCACTCTTTTTACAGTTGTCTGGAGCGTTATTTCCATTCTAAAACATCTGTCGAGGGCCCAAGGCTATTTAATACGACTCCAATAAAACAAGCTAACGATGTAGCTTGTGCTTCGTTGACACCCCACCTTACACTTCAGATTTAAGGAAATTAATAACCTACATCACTACATAAAGGAAACAACTGATGAACGTACTTCTATTCGTAACCATTTGCCTATTTAGAGATTTTATAACAAACCCAGTCAGATGAAAGAACAAACTAGCCCATTAGCCTTTTTGACGAGCAGAGGAGAAAAGGGTACGTGATGCGATGGCTTTAAATCGCAACTCAAGTATAAAACCTTTTTCCGCCTTTATAACCAAAACTAACCCACACAGTCTTGTTTTATTAACACTGTCATACAGTGTTAATTTGTTAAAACAACAGTAATATTTCCAATCACACCCACCACTCGCGCTGTATAGAGGGCCATTTTCCTCTGGCTTCTGCTTTCGTTCGAACCTCCATTTAAAACGATAATAATATACAGCAGGCCCCAAAGCCTCGGGCTGGAGTTGCACCGATAAGGATGTTGAGCGCAGCCCCGTCAGCGCAGGCTGGGCTCCTCCTTCCGCGGCCCGCTGTGAGATCCACTGTGTGCGGTCAAGCTGGAGATTTCGCCGGTGTCCGCCGCTGGAGCAGCGTTTTTCTCAAGCGTAACGTGAAAATCTACCTATGAAAGCTTGCTTTCCGTCCCGATCGTCAAAAATGGATTTCTTCATTTTATTTCGAAAGCTGGGGCATACACGAAGCCTGGGTGGATAACCAGTAGCAGTCAAACTGCATTGTGTGCTTCTGTCGGGTTTTCTTCCTCTGTTGATTCACTAAAGACAGTCAGTACTGAATACGACAACAGTACCGCCATCTACTGCCACTGAGGGGCCTACGATACTGGTAAATCTACAAATACTGGGTCAGATTCAGTCGTTCTTGCTATGCTAATGATCATAAAGCACTTGTTATAGCAAACAAAACCTGTTTAAATTGTAATATTAAGATATTTCTTTAATTTAAACAGTTTTTCTATTTGTAACAATATATATGCATAATTAACCTGAACTGCAAAGTGCCTGTTATTTATTTACTTCATTTACTTATTTGCTTGAGGAAAACAAAACTTTTTTTGTTTGGTTAATCCAGCTGTGTATGATCTTTTAAAAAAAAATTTGTTAAGATGCTTTGAAACAATCTACATTCTAAAATCACTTTAGAAATAAATATGACGTAATGTAATGAGTTTTCATTCTTTTAGATGCCACATACCTCAAAATATAACCCTCTGAAACCATACAACCATTCCAAAAAGTAATACATATATATTATCTTGTATAACGACACAATTTACACTGTTAATATTATTGTACTAGTGAGTAGTACTAATAAGTACTAAAAGGATTAAAATATACTTTCTCTTTTAAGATTTCTTCCATTATTTTTATAGCTTTTTTTTGTTTATTTGTTGGTTTGTTTGTTTGTTTTGAACTCAAATAAATGAAACTCATTCATTCATTCATTCATTTTGCTTCGGCTAAGTCCCTTTATTCATCAGGTTTCACTACAGCAAAATGAACCGCCATGAATCAAACTAATAAAAACATTTATTTTGAATTATTATTCTCATTACAGTACTTTATTAAATCCATTTAGTATTTTCTTCATTATTGACACATCAAATATTCAAAACACAAAATAAAGATTGCAATTTAGTAAATGTTCATGCAAAATAGATATATTATGTGCTGTATAAGAGGTTTTTGGGATTTAAATATTTATCAGTAAAACACATAGCTGACAAGTTCATTCATTCAATTTCCTTTGGCTGGGTTCCTTTATTTATCAGGGGTTGCCATGACAGTTTTACACAGTGGATGCCCTTCCAGCCACAACCCGGAACTGGGAAACACCCATACGCTCTCACATTCACATATTTCATTTATTATTATTCGTTTTTTTTTTTTTTTAATTGAATGAGAAGACAATTTTCATACAATGCAGCAGTAAACATTCCAGTTTATTGTTTCTGTTTTTTGTTTTAACCCAAGCTCCACCCCGCAGATCTGAATATCCCAAGGCAGCTTAACACAATAATTAGGGTTAAACACAGTAATTAAACTCCAGTAATCTGGAGTCGTGTCTGTCGTCACAAAACACTGATGATGGAAAAAAAACAATTACAAATAACAAGAAAAATAAACAGATAAATATTTGCAGGACAAACTACATTAAAAGGCATCACGGTGGCGCAGTGAGTAGCATGATCGCCTCACAGTTCGCTGGTTCGAGCCTCAGCTGCGGTACAGGTGAATTGGGTAAGCTAAATTGTCCTTCATGTGTGTGAATGAATGTGTAGGGATTTTTCCAAGTAATGGGTTGCAGCTGGAAGGGCATCCACTGCGTGACACATGTGCTGGATAAGTTGACAGGCCATTCCATTGTGGCGACCCCAGACCATTAAAGGGACTAAGCTGAAAAGAAAATGAATGAAATGAATGAACTAAATGAATATTATTATTATTAACAATTTTAAACCTTTAAAAAAAACTAAAGACTTAATTTATTAATAATTATGAGATAAAATGTAATTGTAATATATGAAAGTAACAAATTTAGAGAGTTATACAGTACCCACTTTTATAAAAATCTATAACAATGCTTTGTCTTTTTTATTGAGGAGTTTTAGTTGAAAAATTACAAGATATAAAAACATGAAGTCAGATACATGCAATACACAATGAACAGCATCCACAAGCAATAGGATACATGGAAAAAAAAAGATGCCTACCTAATATATATTTTTCTTAACTGTGCATTTGTAAATTACAATTACAGGATAAACAGACATCAGAAACAAAAATCTAGTTTTTTTAATTATTATAACTGAGCCTTTTTTCTCTCTGATTTGTTTTAATATTTATTTTCATTAATGAAACCACAATCAGGAGATCAATATAAGAGAGATACAAGAAAGGGGAAAATACAAGTTACATTAATTGCAGACGACTAACAAAACAAAGAAAGGAGCAAGTAAATTACAATTGTATAAAAATAAATAAATTGAGAGAATATTACAGGAAGGCTATCTAAATAAAATCAGAGTCAATAGACAACAGTTCTTTATATAACAGTTCTTTATATAGTACTAAAAATCTAACACATTTTTTGTTGTTACACTTATGGAAAGATTTGAGCAATGAGTCAACTTCAATCAGAAAATGTACAAAAGGATTTAAAGCCATGCATTTTTGTTTATGTATAAAAAAAATCCAAACAAAATAGATAATATTTGAAGATAATTTTTTTAGATTCATGTGCAGATTCTGAGTAATAAACTAAAATATTTTGCAAAGGTAGGAGGGGTGTTTAAATAATGATACAAGTCGAGCCACTTCTGAACAAATTCACACACAAAAAATAAATGTATTATTCTCAGTCAATTTCCCAGTGTTGGATTGGTGCTGGAAGGCATCTGCTGCGTAAAACATATGCTGGATAAGTTGGCGGTTCATTCCGCTGTGGTGACCTCTGATTAATAAAGGTACTGAGCTGAAAAGAAAATGAACGAATGAATGAATAACTGAGTGTTTTTTTATTTGCAAAAAATTTACTAGTTTGTAGCAATATTTTTTTACAATACATAATATGAATTACATTGTCAATAGAAAAAGATACAAGAGAAAGAAAGAAAGAAATAAAGAGAAAGAAAGAAATAAAGAAAGAAGAAAAAATAAAGACATTACAAAATGAAATAGTTCTGTTTGCTTTCTTATTTTTAGATAATGAAATTAAATGTAAATATTGACTAAAAAACAGGAAAATATGGTTTGGTATTAGTAAATTTGCATTTGTGAGTATGGAATTTACAAAGAAAATAAATGTCATTTATAACAAAACAAGCATTTCTCTTAGTAGAGGCAGATTCATAATAACCAAAAAGAATTTCTTTAAAAGTAACAGAAACATCTAGCTGTATATTATCATTAATAAATGAGCCAACATGTTTCCAAAATTGTACAGCATAATTACAATACCAAAATAAATGAAAAACAGTTGTATTATGAAATTGAAAAAATGATCATTTTACATCAATATTAGAAAAAAAAACATTTTAAAAAATTGTTTAATAAGATCAAACTTGTTGATTATTTAAAAGACACTTCTTTGACCTTGTTGGTGTGGAAATATTTTTGTTGCAAAGACCACATTTTTCCCTATTAAAAATTTCTAAATATATTAACTGAGTCATTTTTTTATTTTTTATTTTATTCACTTCAATAACAAACATACAAAATCCAATCAAAAAAACAAAAACAAAAAAACACAATGATAGTAACAATGATAATAACAGATCGGGTTAAATAATATAGACACACAAAAGTAAAAATAAAAAAATTAAACAGAGATACATAACACAAATACAGCAAGAGGAAAGAAGAACTTATGTATCCGTGATATTTCCAAAATAATTATCATAATAATCCAATAATCCATCACTTTTCTTGTTATTAACCAGTCTAAGAGATTTAATAAAACCATAAATTATTGAACTGAGTCATTTCTTGTTGATGGAAAGTAATTTATGACGCATTTCCTATGACGTAGCCCTATACAAAGGAAGTATTGACATTCATACGCGGAAGAAGCTAAAGTGGGGAAAACAATCGGGTGGATCGACGAACAGTAACTTCAATAAGAAACAAACGAGGGCGTGATATTTGGTCTGTTCAGCTGTTGGTGTCTCCGGTGGACATTTTCCACGTAAAGAAAAGTCAAGGTACTAACGAGAGAGATACAGGCCTCTCGTTTTTATTTCTTTTGACGAGCTAAGTTTAGCAGCTGAGCTCGTTACAATTATTTGGGATGAGCCTTCATCTTTATGTAAAATGCCATTCAATTAATACGTTATTATTCAACGTATGAGCGTAAATATTTGTCTTTTTTAATCTAGCAAGTGTTTGTAGTCCTAAATTGTTCGGTTCATTGTCATTGAGAGCTTATCTCACACATATGTACTAATTATAAAGGCAAAATTTGCTCAACAGTAAAACTGAGAGGGTATATTTTATAATTTGACATTATTTACTCAATTGGAGAGGTCACTTGATTCATGTCGTGTAAAATATTTTAATTTGAGAGTACACTCAGCTACACTCAATTAGCTCAGTCATGCCTCATGACATATCTGCAAAATATGATGTCAGCATCACGTGTCTGAGAGTCATTGTTATCAAATCACAGGTGTAAACCTGAATTTCTTTTTTAAGATTTAAGTGGGTGACACGGTGGCACAGTGGTTAGCACTGTCACCTCACAGCAGAAAGGTCGCTGGTTCGAGCCCCAGCTGAACCAGTAGGCATTTCTCTGTCGAGTTTCCATGTTCTCCCCTTGTTGGCGTGGGTTTCCTCCAAAACGCACTATGCACTATGGGTGAATTGATTAAACTAAGTTGGCCGTAGTGTTTGTGTGTGGATAAGAGTGTATAGGTGTTTCCCAGTACTTCGTTACTGCTGAAAGGGCATCCACTGTGTAAAACATATTCTGGATAAGTACTCTCCAATTGAGTAAATAATGTGAAATAATGCGACCCATGATGAAAAAAAGATACTAAGCCGAAGGAGCATAAATGAATGACTTAAGTGCCCTCTAATGCCATTTGGATGTTTAACAGATCATAGAAACACTTAAAATTGTCCTCCTAATTGCTCTCTATTTTGTTCGTCAGATGGAGTTCCTGTTTGGAAGGAGAAAGACTCCTGAGGAGATGCTCAGACAGAATCAAAGAGCATTAAATAGAGCCATGCGGGATCTAGACAGAGAACGGCAGAGACTGGAGCAGCAGGAAAAGAAAATAATCGCAGACATAAAAAAAATGGCCAAACAAGGACAGATGGTAATGAGGTGTCATTTGATATTTGGTTGACTTTTTTACATTCATTTACAAGCAATATTCTTTCTCCTGTAGGATGCTGTAAAGATCATGGCTAAGGATTTGGTTCGTACAAGACGATATGTTAAGAAGTTCATCATGATGAGAGCCAATATTCAAGCTGTCAGCCTTAAAATTCAAACCCTCAAATCAAACAACAGCATGGCGCAGGCCATGAAAGGAGTCACCAAAGCTATGGCCACCATGAACAGACAGGTACTGTACATCCGCTAAAAAGTCCTGCCAACAGATAGTTTGTTCTTACGCGTGCGTTGATATTTATTCCTTTTTTCTCTTAATACAGTTAAAGTTGCCACAGATCCAGAAGATCATGATGGAGTTTGAGCGCCAAAGTGAAATCATGGACATGAAGGAGGAGATGATGAATGATGCAATTGATGATGCGATGGGAGATGAAGATGATGAAGAGGAGAGGTGAGCATGAATAAATGTACATTTTTATGAATATTTGCTAATTGACACCAACACTTTTTGCATTATTCTTGTAATGTAGTAAAATCAATACTTGAAATCAAGTAAAATATTATTTAATTAAAACCCGTGTCTGAATATACAGTTGAAGTCAGAATTATTAGCCCCCTGTATATTTTTTCTCTCCCAATTTTTGTTTAACGGAAAGGTTTGTGTAATAGTTTTAATAACTGATTTCTTATTTTTCTAGTTTTAATAAAACATTTATTTTATCTTTGCCATGATGAAAGTACATAATATTTTACTAGATATTTTTCATTAACTCATTTTATTTTATCTGAAATAAAACAAATAAGACCTTCTACAAAAGATTATATATATATATATATATATATATATATATATATATATATATATATATATATATATATATATATATATATATATATATATATATATATATTGTCTTGCTCTGTTAAACATCATTTGGGAAATATAAAAAAATATTTACATAACAGACAATAATTTTGACTTCACCTATATATTTGTGCCCGTGTATTAAATGTTCAGTAAACCTCTAATTAAAAAGTAATTCACCTCTCCTCCTTACTGTAGCTCTTAATTCTAGTACTATCAATTCCTTTCTTGTGTGTATTGTTTCATCTTGTTGAATCTCTTTGGACAAAAATGTCTACTAATTGACTTAATGAATCTGAATTTTAAAAGCTAAATGAATCATGTATAAAAGAATGGTTGTCATATTGGCAGGGTCAAGTAAAACAAAACAAGCCCCTCCCCCCCAAAAGACTTAAAATATTATTGCTACATAACAGACCCTGCACTTTCCTCACATGCACTCTTTTTGCTTATATGCAGTGATGCTGTTGTTTCTCAAGTTCTTGATGAGCTGGGTCTGACTCTGTCTGATGAACTTTCAAGTAAGTGTAAAAAATTACAGCAGTTACTGCTCTTTAAAATAATGCATTGGCTTGTGATTATATTGACTTCTCTGTTCAATTGAACAGACCTGCCTGCTACTGGAGGAAGTCTGTCGGTTGCTGCTGGGAAGAAAGCTGAGCCGCAGCCTACGCTGGCCGATGCTGATGCTGACTTGGAAGAGAGACTGAATAATCTCAGAAGAGACTGAGAAGGAAAAGACTTTCAGGTTTCGGTCAAGAGTTCGCTTCACTAAAATGTAGACTGATGATGCAAAGAAGGGGGGGTTGAATGCTGTTGTTTTTTTCTGACATGAGACGCTTGAATGCGTCTCTTTGGTTTTCTGTCTCTCTTTATGACATGTGCTGTTTAAATGTTATCAAACACGTAACCCAAATGAAGATGCAATGCATCAGACTGCTCCCAAGTCTTTTTAAAGGTGATAAAGCCAACAGAGTATCTGTTACTCCAAAATTTCAAGTTGATCTTTAGCAGACACTTTAACACTAAATATTTCAGTGATATAAAAACTGCTCATCCCTTATTCTAATAGGCACAGATCTTTTTATATATGTGATGCAAAAAGTCACTCCACTTTTCAATCTGTTTATATAAAAGTATAGCAGAGAACTGCTGAAATACCCACGCTATTATACTATCATAATATTTTCATTGTGATCTTTTAGTAGTAAATACCTTCATCTAATAAATGTGGTGGTTCATATATTTGTTTACCAGATTGATTGAATCTATAGTGCCTACACTTAGGCTTGTTCATTAAACTATAAACCTTCATAAACTTAAAGGTTTATGAACAAGGCAAAATCTCTTTAACTTTGATCATTTCGTTTGGAAAAAAAAGATAATAATTTGGCGGCAGTTTTCCAAAGCTTGTTTTATCGTAAAATAATCTAGACTTGTTTGTAAAAATCAAAAGAAATATAACTAGTGTATTTATCTCATGGTGAATTAAAAGAGGTGGTATATTTTGACAAATTATTTCTGGTTTTGCATATTTTTTTGTCTCAATAAACATTTTTTCACTTTCTATGAAGGGAATAATTTTATTCTGTTATTTGTTCACTTATTTCATAATGATATAATGTTACATGTGTCTCAAGTTTTGTGGATCTCATCATGCAACTTGAATATTAATAAATGTGATGGACTTAGACATAATAACATAAGATTATTAGATTGAATGTGCTGTTCTCATAATTTTGCCATCTATTTCAAATCCAGTGATTTGGGAAATAAAAAATAAATAAATTAACAAGAATAGCTGTAATAAATAAAAGGCTTTGATCCACTTCAAGTATATAACTTTAAAAAAAAAACAAGCATCAATTGTTGAATCACTGTAGCGTGTTGTTTTTATTTTTTTGAAAAACAAAAGTTCTTATTTTGTAAATAATCCTATCATTTTAATATCTATGCTGAACATACAACATTTCTGACATTAAATAAAAAAATAACAGCAACATTTTCCTTATTTACAGCCAATGGATGTGAGTAAAGCTATGTACAGAGATCCAGTTGTACACATTCACAAGAAACCAAAACTATTGATATGTGTGCTGATGAGAATTAGCATTTATACACACACACATACAGAATCAGATTTTCACTGTTAGATAGAACAAGATGTTTAGGAAGAAATCTTTAGGGACCACAACAAATGCTCTGAAATGACTCCCATGAGGCACAGAATGTATGCTAAATTAATAAAGACACAACAACACTTTTGGACATGGATGAGGTTTAAAGCAAACAGAAGCGTAAAATAAATGTATTTTCAATCAAGATTTTTGAGGTACATCAAAAACATCATCAGCAAACCAACTTCTGAATCCAAAAATAACATTAGGGCAGCGTCCTTAAACCAGCATGGGATGCTGAACCGATTTGTTGACACGTGAACAGCCATACAAATAATTCTTGCAACTTGTTTACATCAGGAAACTCTTCTAATCCTGCCAATATCTTTCCTATCTAAATAACTACACTATGCTTACAAAAATATGTACATTTTTAGGCATAGGATATTCATGACATTCATGCACAATTACATTTTCAAAAGCAAACGTCATTCTCAACACAAATCTACTGAGGCATTACATGCAAATGTGCAGCAATACTCCATAACCAGTTTAGTGGACATTAAAACAGTGTTTGCAGTGAAGCCTGCAATAACCGATATCACTTCACCTTAGTCGAAGTACCCAGAAGAGGACTACAAGTAAAGTAAAGGTTCAAAACAAGGCCACACACTGAATGTGAGGAACTAAAATAGCAGTACTCCGGGCAGCTGGTGCTTTATTATCAGGAAACAAAGCTGTATTGCTGCCTTTTCCTTCTCGAATAAACAGTCTTTGAGTGAGCGGATTGAGTGCAGATGCCATCACACGACTGATCAAATTCTGCTTTAATGTGATGTTGTGAAGTATCGCTCCAGGATGTGGTTCTCAAGCCAGACATGTGGCCAGAATCTCTGCGACTCATTTCCGACAGGTCCTGTGTGGAGTTTGTTTCTTCTGGCTTTCGACACGACCTTTACTTTTTTCATCGAGCCAGGGCAACTCAAAGTTCCTGACAGAAGATAAAAGAGGACTGACACATTACATGACACTTAAATTGTACTTCAACTTTTATGTGAAAATGCAAAACATGTCAAAAAGAAAAAAAGCTCTTACTGTGGTGTCAAATTGGGCAAAGGCCGTCCAAATGCCACTACGGGCAGAAAGGGTGTCACCATGATGGCTTCCACTGTACAAAAATAAAAGAAAATATGAGAAGTTGTAATGAAAGGCATTCATAAATAAATACTGTATGAAATGCCTGAGGGTCACACCATTTTCCAAATCGGGATGAAACGAGGACACCTCTGGCTCGCTCTCCTGAACAACATTCGGTTTCTTCTTCTCCATGCGCTGCTGCAGTCTTTGAAGCATACGCTGTTCACGAATTCTCTGAATGTCCCATCTAAGGAGGAGAAAAGATGCAAGACAATAAAGAAAAATGATTATTTGTTCCTTCAGGCACTTGCATCAAAGAATACCTATTAATTTCTTTCATCATCAGAAGAGGAGTTATTTTATTCTGGGATATCACTGTGAATGCTGTTCTTTTGAATTATCTGCTCATTAAAAAACTGAAAATAGCAAACTTTATTTAAACAAACAATAAAAATAAATGTCTTGAGCACTAAATCAGCGTATTAAGATGGTTTCTGTGACACTGAAGATCTCACCTTTTTCGCCTCTTCTCATCAAGCTCTAACTTGGCATGTCTTTTCAGGAAAACGCTGTCATCAAGACTCTACAAAAAAAAAAAAAAAAAACGATTAATGACAGTGAACATCATAGCCAAGATTCCTGTTCAACACAATTGACGAGTCTTACTTCAGGGAGATCAGCTGCATCCTCCTCCTTTAGGGGTTCCATAATGTTTTCCCTCCACGATGGTACTGGGAAAATAGTTTTCACATAACAATTAGTAAACCAGCGTTTAAATAAGGCATTCTGTATTTGAACCAGAAACTTACTTGCAACATCCTCTTCTTTCTTAGGACAATCTTCCTGTAATGATGAATCTGGAGGCTCCCAGCAGCATAAGTACATTTCAGTGGTTGTCATGTAAGGAAGTTCATCTGCTTCTTTGCTGCTTCCTTCCTCTGCATGCTGGTCTGTCTTTCTGGACGATTTCCCAGTGCTTGCCTTCTCTGGGGTCTCCTTGCTCCGCAGCTCACGCTGACATGGCGATGGCCCTCTTGTGTCTGATTTTTGGGGAGTTGTCCTTGAGGACTTGCCTCTTGACCTTTGCGTCTTTGTTTCGGTTGCGCTTAATTTTCTAGTTTAGTGATTACAGCTCGAATCAGCCAAGGCAAAACCAGTTTATGACCAAACAATTGATTTGAAAAATAAAAATCACAGAAAGAATGACAATTAAAAATAGCCTATTCTTACCGCTTTTGCACTTTGCCACTTGACTTGGATGCCTGAGTTTGTGGGCTGTCGCCTAAATCTGATTCCCAAAAGTCATCGGTGTCTGGAACCCATCTCTCTAAAGGCTGGAAGAGCCTCTTGTCACGTGGTTCCTTGCTTAACAACTGCAAACGACGTTCCATTCGCTCAATGCGGGCAAGCAGCTGTTTGAAAGAAGATCACATTCAACAGAAATAAAGTGAAAATTGTTGCAAGTACAAGCAATAAGCCAAAATCATATTATCAATCAAACGTTGGGGCCAGATTCAGCATAATACCTGTAATCTTCAGTATGACATGATCCTTAAAAAAATCATTCAATATGCAGATTTGGTGTCATGTTTGGATTATATTTAGACAACGCAACCCCAATGTTTTAACTTCAAAGGTGTTGCTCATATTTTGTGGAATAATCTTGATTTTAGTCACGAAGGTTTTCTGTACTCTTCTAAGTATTTGAAATTTGGGGAATCAAATCATTAATATAAACAAACAGCTTTTATTTGACATGGGTTTTCTGACACTTTTGATCAACCGATTGCATTTTCTGCTCAAAAAAAGTTCTAACCCTAAGTGCACATACCGTGTCTCTGTCTGATTTGAGTTCATCTATTTCCTTGTCCTTAGACTGCAGCTGTTGCTGTTGTTGCTCGATCAAGTCCAGTTGAAGCAACAGCAGTTGTTTAAGGCAAGTGGCTTGTGCATGAGGATTGCCACTGATCTTCTTCATATTGGTCCTTTTACCCTCGGAGTGTTCGTGAGATGACCCCATAGTCTCTTTAGCATTTTTCTCACCAACAGGGTCTCTAGAATTAATATGAGAATTCATGGATACAAACTCTGGCTTGTTATCAATGGCGTTGGTCTGTCCAAAAGGAGTTTTACTTTTTACAGGGGTGCCTTCACCCCCCATTTGTTTAGCTTGAGATGACAGTGTTTCTGTGCCCACAGAGCCAGCCTCTGAAGCCACGATCAACTCTCTGCCAGGCTTTGAAGGCAATGAAGCCCGTTCTAAGTTCTTTTGCGAGATCAGATGTTCTCTAGTGTCGTCTGGTGTGTCACATAGAGGATCTCTGAGCTCTCTTTGGGCACTAACTGGATGTCTTGTTTGAGATGGGCTGAAGTCACACTTCTTTGAGTACAATCCTGCTTTAGAAAAGCATTCGGGTCGCATATTCATGGCGAAGGAAAACCTCTACACGATGAACCATGGCTCCAATAGAGGCTTGTCTGCAGACTTGAAAAACATAAATCGTAAAATAAGAATCAAGAAAGCAAAATGATAATTGATAGTTGCAAATGTTTGTTTCAAGATCCCACTGAATGCATTGCAAATATGAAAACTGCACACAAAATAACGCAGGCTTCCTGTCTGTTTGCAACATGACTTCCACTACAAGGTTATATAAACCCACTCCGTGATCAAATATTGAAAAAAGCACCAAACGCAATCACATACTAGACAGCCATAAATGTTCACTGTCCAAATCAGATCACTGAATCTCACTACCGATAAAACATGCACGCACTTATTATACCAAACGTTACAGCTAGACGTGGTTTGGTTTTCGGTTTATGGTTCAAGAGGCACGAACCATTTTAACTTGAGCTAATAATAAATAGCCTGCCTCCATTTTGATCCTGATGCTAGCTAGCCGCTGTTAGCAAACGAGGTGCTAATATACCAAATCGTTTTCGTTATACTGCGAGTTTGCCAGCATTCTATACTACATGTCTATGTCGGATTTGCAAAAACCAATAATCAGAACAAACAGGTCCCAAATGAGCGTTCTATCCTACTTTTATTGCTGTTTGTCCCCCATTTTCAGGCTCGAATCTGCACAATGTCCCAATATACGAGTGCGTTTGTCTCAGTGCGCATGCGTTTTGTCAGGACGTGTTTACATTCAAAGTGATGGGGTTTGCGAGCAATATTAAAGGTAAAATAAGCATACACACGTTTATAAACATTCGTATCGTGTACGGTTTTCTTTGCGTATTGAATCTGGTCAAGATAGTGAATATATGTTCGGGAAAGTAAGTATATGGGAACGTATTTGTCTGGCGGAGGCAAAA